TATTATTTTATTTTATATATATATATATATATATCATATTTTCTTTTTACTTAAAGTTTGATGAATTTTTAAAAAAAATTACTATTGATTGACAATGATAATGAAGCTGCAGAGACCCCTCTCGACAAAGTTCCAGGTCTGCCAGTGGCCGTAGCATCTATATATAATCCCCGTGATCACATCACATGTGTGTCAATTGCGTGTACAAGTACAACCATTAGTTAGTTTAAAGCTAATTAATTAGTTGACTTCGATTCAGAGAATTCACAGGTCATTTCGAATTCTAAATTAAAATAGTGAGGATTGTAAAATATAAAATAAAATATGCAAGATCTTATTTGAGCTGATATTATCCCCTACCCGATGTTTGCCTGGAAGTTAAAACATATTCCTGAAAAAGTGCAGATTGAAAGATTCCAGGGTAATGAAGCATGCATGGCCTCACGTGGAGACAAATCATCTTTGGATTACCCTATTCCTAGGCCATTGCAATCTAATCAGAATATGTTTCTTATATTGTATGATTTTTAAACTGTCATTAATTATTATTGTATTTATATGCAATCAATTAAACGTATTCCGAAGGATCCGGTTATGCATTAATTTTTGGTGTTATAAATGTGTGTTTTACATGTTTCAAAACCTAACCCGAACCCAGTAAAGTTTTTGGGTCCTTAGTTAATCGGTTTAACTGATTATAAAAACTTTTAAAATTCAATACTCTTAAAAATTAATATAGTTATTATATGTTCAAACACACCCCGAAACATCAATCGACTAATTGGCAGCGATGATACCCCAGATGCAACCTCAATCGTCCCTTGAGCCTTTTCCATTAAAATTTACCCAAGATCTGACCAAAATAGGTTCTATTTTGGCCAGATCCCACCAACGTTGACGTCGACAGCCCTCCCCATCACCTAGGAATTACTCATCTCTTTCTCCTAACCAAACCCACCTCACCCCCCCCCGTTAGCCTCGCCAATCACCAGCAAAATCCCATTGTTGCCGCTGCCAGATTTGTTAAATTTCTGGTCGATTTACTTACCGAAATCAACGCCATCAACACCATTGCATTCACCGACCCTTATCTTCAAAAGCCCCATGATTCTGGCCGTCAATTGATCACCGATCACCCTCCCAAATCTTAGGGTTTTGGGTGAATATAAAAAGCATAAACCCGATCCGTTGAAGCTTCCAGGTCCCGGTTGAACCGTTCAACGACCGGGCGGGTCGTTTTAAAACTTGGTGTTTTAAACATATTTAAATTACATTAATTCATCAAAAAGACAAAAACTATGGCTGCGTTTGGTTCAAAATTTGGGGGTTTTGGAAAAGTTTTTTGAAAAAAGTTAAAAAAAAAAAGTTGAATTGGGCGGTATTACGAGGTAGAATTTAAAATTAATAAAATACCTTTTATGTTTGTTTTTTTACAAAATACCCCCTATAATAAAACATTAAAAGTTAACAAAAATACCCCTAACCCACCCTCAAACACCCCCAGCCGGCGACCACCACCGGAGGTGGCCGGAGTCGCCGTATGGGCGCATGACCGGTTGGATCTTGCTGGTCATGCGTCGCTATGGCCTTTTCCGGCCAGATCCATGGTGGATCTGGCCGGAAAAGGCCAGATCTACGGTCAGATCTGGCCGTCAGATCTGGCCGTATTTGCTCTCAACGATGGCCAACAAATGGTCGTCGTTGATGGTCAATGACGATCGTTTGTTGGCCGTCGTGACCGAGTGTTACGGCCAAAGATCTGGCCGTCAACGGCCAGATCTTTGGCCTTAGATCTGGCCTTTTCCGGCCAGATCCACCGTGGATCTGGCCGGAAAAGGCTAGATCGGCGCACTACCGGCCAGATTCAGCCGGTAGTGCGCTATTCTACCAGATTCCAGCCATTTTCCGGTGGTGGTGGCCGGAATCTGGTAAATGTGGATTATTGTGGTGTTTTTGTAATTTTAAAAAAAATATTTAGGGGTATTTAATTAAATTATCAAATTTAAGGGGTTTAAAAAAAGTTGAATAATATTGGGAGTAGTATTCCCAAAAATCTGAATTTTTGGGTATTTTACTGTTTAACTTTTTTGGGAATACTAAAAGTAGTATTCCCAAATGTGAAACAAACGCAGCCTATGTTTCTTTACCACATGTTGACAACTCCTCTATAGGATATAATTAATTGTCTTTTGAAACTTAGGCATGGAAATGGGGCAGGGCGGGGATCTCATTCACCATACCCATCCCGGCCCCATCCCCATTACAAGGATAATAGGAATTCTTCTTTCTCGCCTCATAAGGGAATGTTGGAGGCTCGTCCTTGTCCCGTTAATTTTACACAAATATAAATTAATTTGCACATTACCAAACACAATAATTAATTTTGATCCACATGACAAACACTTAAATTAATCGCTTAAACATAATTAATTCTCATCCACATGACAAACAATTAAATTAATCGTTTAAACATAATTAATTTTACATAAATATGGGTTAGGGTTTGTTCTTATTCAATTGTTTAGGGTGGGGAAAATATGGATTTATATAGGTAGGATAATTGTTTAATTAGGTGAAATATAAAGGTATTAAAAGTGTATATATATATTTTAATTTTATATATTATATACAGGGTGGAGCAGGGTGGGGGAAAGGCATCACCTACCCTCGCTCTATCCCCGGGATTGGCATTAAAACGCCCCCCGCCCCTATCCCTGAAAAAACTAGGCCTTTCACGCCCCATATGGGGCGGGGCGGGACGGGTCCCCAGAATTCCAAAGAACATTGTCATGCTTATTGAAACTCTTCACATAATTTGTAACAACCGCAACGTAAATGATTACATCTCATTTTCAGACGAAGTTTTAAAAATAATAAAGGAATCTCTTTTAGAGCAACACACCCAAAAATAATCATATTGGAAAGTAATTCATAATAATAAAAAACTTAAACATAGGTTAATTTTGTTTATTTAGAGTTGTTTGTGTTTAAATATGGTATTTAAAAGTTATTTTTATTAAACTGTTTTATATCAAGTCGCCAGTCACCAGGTTATTATTTATTTATTTCGAATAGCATTGTAGGAAAGGATAAGAAAAGAGTAACTATAACTTCGATCTCTTGTATTTGATTGTGTCACTGTTAACCGTCAAATAAAAGTGAAAATAATAATTATTTAAGAAATAAGTTAAATGCAGTATAAAATTTATAAAAATTAGTCATATCCTTATTGAGCAAGGTATGCAATAATTGATATAAATCTGAGGTAAGCTCATACGTCAAACTGTTGCCAGTTAACAAGGCTAAACTGACAAAATGCGCAGAGAATGGACCACAGTTTGGTCCAATCTTTGGCCCAATAATCTATTGAAATGGATTCATCGCACTAAAGTAGGCCTCAAATGTTAGACACCAGTCAAGTCTGTTTCAGACATCCCAAGACCACGTTGGGTCCATGCTACATTTTCTTGTTTCATTCACTTCATCTTGTCTCACTCAAAACAATCATCAATTAAGTCACGCTTATAATAACGGAATCGGTCCCCTTCCTAGACTTGGTGATCTGGATGGTCCTAAGCCAAATCTCGATTCTGAGGCAACAAATAGCTTGGTCCAAATAAAACATAATTCCAAATTTATGGTTTGGTCTGAAAATTTGGCATATAACTGAGCTTTCTATCTGATATAGCAAGCCTCACTAGCTGCTGTAGGCGTTAACCCCTCTTGTCCACAACAAACAAAGACTACGCTTTCGTAATTTAATTACAATACTGTTCTAATTTAGCCTCTCTCAACATCATCCTTATTAGAGTTTTAATTTATTATTTTAATCGAAGATAATAATTTGAAGTAAATGGTCAACATTAAGTTATGTTGCTCCAAACAAGTAATCTGGATATTATTCCTGGATTTGAACTGTTATATTAGAATGCATCTGGTGCTTACTATATTACTGTAGTTGTATCCTACAATTACCCATCAAAAAAGATAAGCAATGGCATATNGTCAAGTCTGTTTCAGACATCCCAAGACCACGTTGGGTCCATGCTACATTTTCTTGTTTCATTCACTTCATCTTGTCTCACTCAAAACAATCATCAATTAAGTCACGCTTATAATAACGGAATCGGTCCCCTTCCTAGACTTGGTGATCTGGATGGTCCTAAGCCAAATCTCGATTCTGAGGCAACAAATAGCTTGGTCCAAATAAAACATAATTCCAAATTTATGGTTTGGTCTGAAAATTTGGCATATAACTGAGCTTTCTATCTGATATAGCAAGCCTCACTAGCTGCTGTAGGCGTTAACCCCTCTTGTCCACAACAAACAAAGACTACGCTTTCGTAATTTAATTACAATACTGTTCTAATTTAGCGTCTCTCAATATCATCCTTATTAGACGACAAGTTTTAATTTATTATTTTAATCGAAGATAATAATTTGAAGTAAATGGTCAACATTAAGTTATGTTGCTCCAAACAAGTAATCTGGATATTATTCCTGGATTTGAACTGTTATATTAGACTGCATCTGGTGTTTACTATATTACTGTAGTTGTATATCCTCTTTTACTGTTTAGTTTTTGAAACTTCTGCCGCAGATTCTCCACTCTTCAGTCTTCATCCCAACCTAAAACCTAACTCTGACTTTAATCACCTCCACTTCCACTCCCCACGCCCCACATGCCGCATGCTGCCCCGCAACGCATCCTCCATCGCATCACCAGATTGAGTTAATAATCTGCCAATGAACAAACGACACCTTGCCAAAAAAAGAACCTTCCATTTCAAACTACATTGTGCACGTTTTACTTGATGATACGTGATGGCAATGCGTTGTCATGCACAGGCTCCTTATAACTGATAATTGAGCAAATCTCGAATCGACATAACGACTCATCACTGCCACGAATATCAACTTCCAAGTTCCGCCTCTCTCTTCACAGATAGAATACAAGAGACTTACAAAAATACACCTCAGATTGTACACAACTATCGAAGATGTCTGAAGGTAAAAGAACGAAGCCAGAGAAGAGGAAACTGGGGCAAAACGACGACGGCGAATCCGGGTCACAAAAAAAGGCGCGAGAAGTTAACGGAGAAGGGACGACTGTGACGGAGGAGGAGGTCGACGAGTTCTTTGCGATACTCAGAAGAATACGTGTGGCGGTTAATTACTTCAAGAAGGATAACGGCGTCGGTGAAGGACGTAATTTAACGAACAGAGGGGCGTTGGAGTGGGAAATCAGTAACGCAGAAAATAACAGTGTTACAGCGGAGATGACAACAGTGACGAACGACGCACAGAAAAATATGGGCTTGGATTTGAATGCTGATCCGGCTATGGATCCAGACCCGTTTTAAATGGCCTTTTGGGCTTTATGTCTGTAGAAGTACTGTACCGGATAATTTTAGTATTTTTCAATGTAATTTTAAAATTTTGTTTTTGTATTAGTAATTTGAATGAGATTTCCCATTGCCATTTACCAGTAGTATAAACGATAAAATCTACCGTTTATTTAGTATGTGCTTCATTATTGCACCTGACAAGACCAAATACGATTTTTGACAGATACAAGTAGTAATAAAGTTTTTGAAATAAATTTTTTAACATGAATTAATTAATATTCTGAGTAACATAATGGTCCATGACCATGACCATGACCAATAGCATCCAATACTTTGTAAAAAGCTAAAGTAAAAATTAATTTTCTCCTTTTTTGGATAGTGCGATTGCAGAAGAATCTTGAGAGTCTTTTACAAAATGACCCCCTTTGCGGAACAATCAAACTCAGTTTAGCTAAAGTAAATTATATAAAAATGACTAGCATATTTTTTAAAATTATAAGAATCTAATAATATATCAGCTGCATATTTATTTCATTATCTTACCAATTTTTCTTCCTCGGCATGGGTATTTATAATTCAACAATTAACATGTTTTTTTCTTTATGTCGTTACTAAGGTACTGCTATCTTTCGGAGAATCATTAATTAAATTTATCAAATAATATATTCTACTAATCCAAATTTAAAATATGAAAGCTATTATTTATTTATTGAGATAGGAATAGGATATTATAAATTAAATTTTACATTTTTTGAGAGACATTTATCTTTGTAAATCTAACGGTATTAAAAAAATTAGAAATACTAGTTTTACAAAGAGAAATACAAAGAGGGACATACAAAGACAAATCATGCCCTTAAAAGAAGAGAAAAAGAGAAAGAGAGAGAGACAATCATGAAGATTAAGGACATAATTTGTCTTTGTATGCTCCTCTTTGTAAGACTAGTATTTTAAAAAAGATTAGGTAGTCATTAAATATGTAATTTCATATTTGTATTTAATAAAAATTAATTGTAATTGTAATTGTAATTGTAATTGTAATCATATTATAAAGTCATTCCAATTATTGGTCATAACAAGTCTCATTTGAATTCTACTTAATAGATTATGGTTGATCAATTATAAGCTGTCACATCGAAATTGTGAAAGAAAATTTGTGAGAGGAGATTGTGGGCGTAATATTACTCTATTAGTATTTATTAGATTATTTTGTTTCGAAAATTTCCAAAACAAATAAATACGGATTTCATACAAACTTGAAACTTCCGACCTAATTTATATCCACTATTTGTATAGTCCAATTAATTTTTAAAAAAAAAAAAATGTTGTTCTGTGAAGTTTATCCATGCTTAAAATAGTTAAATTTCAATTATAAATTGTCTTTTCATGTTATGGATAAAAAATTATATTTTTTGATAAAATTAATTTTTTTTTATTGTTTTATAATAAAGTGCTTATGGTGTGAAAAGCTCTTCAATTATATAAAAAATATTTTGTATAACTTATGAAAACCATGTGATATGAATGATTATACAAAATAACAAGTTCAATAATAATAGTAATTGCTTCGAGATTTTAAAAAATAGAATAAAAAGAGCGGGCGCCGTTTGAATAGTACTGTAGACCGGCAACTGGAAACAAAGTGGCTGCAACACGTTTTAAATCGTCATGTTAACGTTGTTCATATGACGTAATGCCTTTGCATCACCGACCCATCACTACCGTCCATTTTACTTTTGATTGGAATTTTCAAACACCGGCTCTCATATAATAAGAGATGCAGACACCTTCCATAACAAACCCCCACACACACACTAAAGAAAAAAAAAACTTATTGTTTCTCTCCTACGGCGACGCTTTTCGACAAACGGAAAATGAACGTAGAAAAAAGGAAACGGGGCGATAACGGAGAACAGGACGGGAAGTCGAACAGAACAAAGGGAAACGATGTTAACGGAGGGCTGACGGTGAAAGATGATGAGGTAGACGAGTTTTTCGCGATACTCAAGAGAATACAAGTGGCGGTTAAGTATTTCGAAAAGAGTAACGGCGGGAGGCGTAAGTTGACAGAGAAAGGATGGCGACCACGCTTCGAAGCCGAAGATTTCGACGGAGATAACGGTGTTAATAACAATGATAATGATGAGAATAATGGAGGCAAAACAGAGGAAGCTGCAGAAGAAAGTTCGGGTTTCGATCTGAACTCGGATCCTGCATCTACAATCGACAAACACTAACCTCTAATTAAAGGTTTCTAAATTGTATTATTATTAACGTTAATCATTTTCAATGACAATAAAACGTTTTCTTTCTCTTCTTTTTTTTTTTTTTTTTGCTTTATGTAAAGCATCTAATTAAAGAGAGAAAGGTGCAAAGAGATGAACTTTTCTCTGTAGATGGAATAAGTTGGTTCTTTCCTTTTTTTCTTTAATTTTATTATTATTTTATTTCTGTAATCTACGCAACAAACATGGTTAAAACCAGCAGGGTGGATCTAGGAATTTCACACGATAGGAAAAAAAAAAAAATATATTATAACCAGTCATATTCATGCAATTTTAATTTTTTCATTATGTTGACTTTTAACAAAAAGTTAGAAAATACAAACGAATATATTTAAAAAACACAAATTTTTTTTTGTAAAAATCAAACAATTTTTTTACAATTGTCTTAACGAATTTTTCATATTTTGAAAACGTTAGATAATTGTCTTATCGTCAATTGTATCAAATACATCTTTCTCAATATAGATGACCAAACAATCATTCATTCATTGATTTCTCGTTCGATTGTGTAATTGACTTTTTACAAAATTCATTGCAGAAAAAGTTTTTTCAACGATCGCAGTCGCAACTAGTAAAACTAATGCAAGTTTCACAAGCTTATACATCAATAGATACAAAATGTCTTTTTTAAACCGAACTAAATTCTTAGTCAAATCACAAATTCCTTCTAACTAAGCAAAATTCGGTTCTCAAATATCATTAACTCAAGTGCAAAAAAATCATACGGATAAAACTAGACAACAGATCAACTTATGCTTGTCAAAAGCAGAGAATAAATTACTTAGATCTAAACATATCATACAAAGAAGCAACTCAGTACTAACCTTAGTGAAACGAGTGTTAAATTCTTGAAGTTGCATATCTATCACTGTATAAAATAATTAAACTTGATAGTCATGCAAATTTGTCATGTGCTCAACTCTTTGTCGTGGCCGCCTTCGAATTGCAAACATATCATCCATATTCAAAATGGCAATATCATGATTTTGACAAAATAAAGAAACTTCACTCAACAAAGATTCTCATCCTTCATCTCTCAACAATTGTAACAATTATTTGGAGACTTTGACTAGGGCTATAACATTTACAATGTCTTGATCTTTTCTCTGCAATACTTGTAACAACTCATTAGTAATTGCCAATATACTCTTCATCATATGCAAGCTAAATGCAAAATCAAAGGAATAGGTTAAATCTAATAGATTTAGGGGTGAAATTGATTAGAGTTGAGTATCTGGTAAATCGAACTCAACTCGATCACTATAGTACCGAGTTCGAGTTTGAGTCTGATCAAGCTTTAGAAATCAAGTTCGAACTTGAATTCGATATTTGAAATTCAAAATCGAGTTTGAATTCGAGTTTGTATATTCGAGTTTTAATAATCGAGTTTGAGTTCGAACTCAATATCAAGCTCATCTAATAGAGGTGGATTTGCAAATTTTATAACTTTTAAATGACATTTGACCTCTGTTACTTTAAAAAACTGTTAACTTAACCATCGAGCTTGGAAATACTCGCGAACATATCGAGTCGAGTTCTACTCTATTAACTACTCGAATTTGACTCTACTAATGCGGAGTCGAGTTCGAGCCAACATCGAGTCGAGTTTGAGTGGCTCGAAAGCGGCTCGACTCGATTTTCACCCTTAAATAGATTACATGCTTCACCCATTTGTTCAAGATTTAAACTATCTTTTTCAATAACCTCAAACACATCCACCCATAGAGGATAACAAAATGATTAAGTTGATCAGCTTTCTATTGTAAAAATGCCTAGATTTCTCCCCTCAGTTATGTGCAAACCCAGCAGCTCTTATTCCTTTCATCTTCACTCCTAATAAAATTTTTTAAAACTAACAGATCCTCTTGCATAAAAATAAAAATTACAAAGAATATGTAATAAATATATTAGAATTAAAAACGGAGTTTTATAAAAACAAAATTCAAACTTACCTTAGGGGCTCGACTGTTCCATTCTCAAAATCTCAAAGATTTATAGGGGCAAAATTTAAATAAATATAAATATAAAATCTGAAGGTGCATTGGGTTCATTATTCTGATACTTTTTAGAATAGTATTTTGAAAAAAAAAGTAAAGTTTTATGGTTATTACAAGGTAGGATTTGAAAACTAACAAAAAAACCCCCTAGGTTTGTCAATTTACTAAATACCCTGTAATAAAATATTGAAATTAACAAAAAACACCCATACCCACCCATTAAATACTGATAGCCGGCCACCACTGTCGGAGGGTAGCCGTAGTCGCATATCGATACATGACTGGTTGGATCTAATCGGTCGTGCGCCAATATGGTCTTTTCCAACCAGATCCATCGTAGACATGGTCGGAAAAAGCCAGATCTAGTCGCATTTGGTGGTTAACGACAGCCAAAGATATGGCTGTCATTGACGACTAGCTACGACCAAAGATATGGTTATCAACGGCCAAATCTTTGGTTGTAGATCTTACCTTTTTTAGTCAGATCTACGATGGATCTGGCCGAAAAAGGCTAGATCGGCGCACTATCGACCAGATTCAGCCGGTAGTGCATCATTATACCAGATTTCGACCACCTTCCGATGATAGTGGCTGGAATCTGGTAAATGTGAGTAGGTGGGGTGTTTTTGTCAATTTCTAAACTTTTTTTTTTTTTTTTGGTGTTTAGTTAAATTAACAAACCGGCCAGCTCCAACCAGTAGTGCACCATTATACCAGATTCTAATCACCTTCCGATGGTAGTGATCGGAATCTGGTAAATGTGAGTGGGTGGGGTGTTTTTGTCAATTTCTAAATCTTTTTTTTTTTTTTAGCTAAATTAACAAACCTATGGGGTTTAAAATAATTGAATAAAATATAATAGTTTTTTCATAATAGGAAAATAAATATGTATTTTGGGTAGGATCCTGAATATTTTTTAAAAACTTTAGTAGTTTAGTGGGGGCATGGTCCCCACTCATCATTCATTAAATACATCCCTAGAAAAAACTAGAACGTTTCTCATTAGCAAAGGATTATTTATTTGGTTAATCTCATTGATATTTATTAGTCATCCTCTGCATAACAATCAACGCAGAGAATTCCACTTAGTACAATGCAAAAGGTCTTTGTTTATATTATTATTGTGTGTGTCATGGTCATAAATTTCAGAAAAGAAATGGTGGGTCAATGAATTAGGTCTGTTCGTTCGAGTCTTCGAATCTTACATTTTTTTTATATCAAATGTTGCATCAACTAACTCGTGGTAAGTAACAGTATGGTGTAAGCGTTAAACTTTAAAATAGATTGCAATTCATTTTATTCAAAGATTATAAATTCTCACACATGGATTTTAAATGTTGACTTAAAATTAATAAATTTGGACCTTTAACTCATGGCATGGGGCAAGAGTTGAGAATTAACAACATTCTTTACATAAATCCTCAAAAGCCTCCCATGTAGTTTCTCGTTTCCTGAAATACCCCCCTTTACACACCGTTTCATGACACTGTAACGTCAGAAGCTCATGGGCAAATGGGTCAATTCCGTATTTTCTATTATTTTATATTTAAGTAATTGGAGACAAAAACGTAAGGAATTTAACCATTATCTCTGATTTAGGGATTTAATCATCAAATCCCCAAATCTAGCCGAAACCCCCAGGAGTCCTTACCAAATTTCTTTCCAGATTTTCTATACAGATTCACTGTTCTGGTAACTACATAATTTATCCATCTTATGTGATTTAAATATAATTCTATCTGACCATGGCTGTAGCTTCATGAGAGAAAGGAAATGTTTCAGCAATTATAATATTGTTATTCCAAAATTATGCATGGTGAACCACCACCCCTTGTGGCCTGATGGAGTGAAGGATGGATTGAGGAGTTAAAAGACTAAGAGTTGTAGCAGGGGCAAGGGTGGCCACCAATTACCATTCCCAAAAAAGTTATGCAGGGTGTGGGTGGGCCTAGTTGGCAAGCTGTTAGGACAGTGGGTACAAGCATCAGAAGCGTACCAAGGTTGTCCCATGTACAAACACAGGTAATGAAAGTTTTTATGTAATCATGAACATATTTATATTTACAAATTCTTAGAACAGCAAACCTTTCAATTTATACAAAAATCTATTGCAGGTCCTCAAAGAAAAAAACCAAATGCAGAGTGAGAATATTCAAGTAAGGGTGATCCAAACTGCTGGCAATGGGAGAAAGGTATTCGATTGCTTCCCTATTTCCGATTTACTTCAATCTGACTTGGTTTTTTACAGTAATATGGGTATTTGTCATTTGTTTAAAACCAGGGAAATTCCAAGATGCTGAAGGAAGTTCGAAGTATTGTTGATGCAGAAGCTAGCAAAGGGAAGAAGACAGTTTAGGTAAGTTCTTAGGCTTTATAGAAGTACAACTTGAATGGATTGTCATTGGACTCAAATATTACCATTGCATAATATTGTTATTAATCTATATCATTTATTGCTGCGCCATAATCATGGTTCCTTATTTGAGAATAGTATGACAAATTCAAGTGGTCCAAATAAGAAGATAGAGGCGTCAACTAAGAGCAAAAATAATTCCCGTTATAAAAGGGAGTTGAAATTGAAGGTGGTGGTCCAATCCAATTACTACAATAAAAAACTCCAATTTCATGCACATACAGTAGAGCGAAAGGATAGGAAAGCGAAAAGTCTAATCTTTGGACCAGACTGAAAAGCTAGCCATTTTGTTTTGTGGAAAACTCAAAATCGAATGAGACTCTTTCTTCTAACTTTCGGCATTTCCTTAGCGGCATGCGTCTCAGCCTATATTTTCGTTATCTAACCTTTATCATCCTATTTTTTTCAGGAATTCCAAGTGCTTAACCTGATTCGCAATACTCTTCCCTTCCACAAATCTTTCTTCATTCTGCAGTGTATTAGATAGGCTATTCAATTAAATTCCGAGACAAATTGATGCCATCCCAATTAACCAGCGGAAT